ATGATTGTTCTGCAAAGTCTTGTTAAAAATGTAACATTTTTCTCTACCACCGATTCCTTCATTCGATCGAATAGAAGCAATTCAATACCGTTTTGGAATTGTGTGTATATGTCGTATGTGTGTGCGTTTGTGTTGCTATTGTTGTAGTTTGCTAGTTTCGTTTGTCGAATTTACACGTTTTCGATTTGCTATCCTTTTTGGCGTGTATTAAATGTGTGCATTTGCCATAGCATTAACAAGGCGGTTAGGTTGCGTTTGCGTTTATGTTGTATGTTGTGTGTATGGTTTCTGACAAAATCTGATATGGATTTACACCTTTGTTGTGTTGTTGGTTCTTTGTTAACATCTTCGTTGTCGCCGGTTGTCGTTGTCGTTGTCGTTGTCATCGTATCTCTCTCTCTCTCTCTAGCTATATGTCGCTGCTTGCATGTGTGTATGTGTGATTACGTAGTTTTTTTATATTTGGCTGCGCCAGTTTGGAATACAACGCGTTATTTATGAATATCATTGCAACTAAATAAGTGCTAACGATACGGAAAAAGAAGAGAGCATTTTGATCTGATGAAGGAACATGTCTAACAAATGAATGCACCGCTAAAAGTGTTTCGCTTCTCTTTTATTTTCCGCAATGAAATCCATTGCAAACACACGATGTAATCCACGAGCTAACCAAATTTTGATGGAAACACACTTGAATAAAAAGGTTTCCAAAAACGAGAAAAGCCGAAACAGCAAGAATAAAGATAGCGCGAACAAAGGGTGGAGGACGAGAGCAAAGCGAGCGAATGAGTGAGTGAGCGAGCGGAAAAAAGGTAAGAAAAATCGAAACAAACGCGACAAGGGAGAGCAAAAAGACAGATAGACAGGCAGTCAGTGAGAGTAGATCCTCGTCCGATAGCAAATTCATTCAAATTGATTCACATTAAGATTATCCACAAAGAAAAATAGCAAAACGACAATTCTATTTATTCAATGTGTGTCATTACTGTGCATATATTCTAGCTGCAGGCGACGACTTATTCGTTCGAGATTCGATTGACGAATGAGTGTATGGGAGAGAGTGAGAGCAGAGCAGAGCAAAGCGAACACAACCCAAACCCACTGCACAAATTCACCAATCAATTCAATCGATTTTTTGTGCTACGCTTGTTTTATAGCTTGCGTCGCCTGTTTGTGTGAACTGCTTTGGCACTCCAGAATGTTTATTGATTCCAATAAAGGATACAATCAAACGAAACGAAGGATTTATTTTGGCGATGCTATTATAGAAGAGGCGAACAAAAAAAGTATATACATTCTTTTTCCCTTATTCATTTCGATCTTCATACATTTGAGAACACAGTCCGAGAGACGAGCAACAAAGTACAGACAACAAAAACAGCAGCAGCAACATTTAGACGAGAATTGATATCGAAAACGAAAGGAATCCACGAAATGAATTTCCGACGATTTTTAATTCGTTTTGATTATCTTTGTTCATTTTATGAATGCATTTTCGGCGGCTTATTGTTGTTCCCACGAACGGAGTGCGCGCATCGAAAACGGTTGTTCTGGCGTTTCTTTATTTTGTTGTTGTTGTTTTTGTTGAAGGAAATTTCAACGGTGGTTATTAATTTATCAATGCATATACATCAACGTATGCAATGTCCGATAAGTGGTCATTGAGTGGTACGGCAATGGCAATGTCAGGTCATTTGGACATTCCGTTTACCAAACGATAAGCAAATTGAAATTGTATGCATATGATAACTGCAACTTATCGGTCATATGGAATATTTTAATACAGAAATGTTGTCTTCAGCTGTATGTTCACTTAAATTTGTTGTGAGTCGATTTAGCCCGTTTGTTACTGTTGTTCGGGCCTGACAACAATTTCAAATCGAAGATCGGTTAATATTGTAGTGTGCGTGTGTGTATTGGTGAGACTCATTCTTTCAATTTATCGAATGTTTGCCGACGCATTTGACGCTGCTGCTATTTTCATCAAATAAATGGAACAATAAGTTTTTAGTATGGGTTGACAAAAGACGGTGCATCTGCTTGATTCTTATTGAAATGCGTCGCATTTTGTAGAAAAAAAATGTATTTTCACGTTTAATGTTTGCATTCTCTTGGACCCACTTCGTAGATTTGTTCGTACAAATGGTAGCTATTATCTCAGTTTCGTGTAAATTGTATTATACTTTCGAAATATTTGAAAACTGTTTTTCGATTGTATTTACACGGATCTCTAAAAACAATATGAAGCTATTACGAATGAAGCGAGCGAGCGAGAGAGAGAGAGAGAGAGAAAGAGAGAGAAATGCTATACTTTTTGTAGGTCTATTTGAATATTCAAAATGAGATTTCACATTATAATTTTCAAATATTTTAACAATGAAAAAACAAAACGTACACACATCTAGGTACGTACAGACGATTTTGGATGTGAGATTTCACTTGGTGTATTTGGCCCGCGTCTTCGTGTATCTCAGTTTGTTTTTATGTGCATATATGTTTACTTCAGTTGACGTGAGAAAATCACAATATTTTCCGACGAGAAACAATAAATTTCGCTTTTGCTATTGTGTTTCCTATTATTACTTTTATTATTTATTAAATGCTTTGGCTGTAGCTGTTGTTCTACCGCCATTTGGTTTTGCCCGAAGAAGCAATGCCGCTGTGGCCAAAAGACTCGCCGTCGTCGTTCTTTTACGTTGTTTTTGCTACTTTTTTTTCTGTGTGTTGTTCATGTTCTAGCAACCACTAATTATGAAGCGAAATGAGTGATGCAAGTGTGTTAGACTCGCACACGCACGAAAACATAGTATTTACAGAGTTGTTGTTGCGCTCTCGCTCTCTGTCGCCCTGTCTCTCGATTCACATCACATTTCTCTTCATTCCAACCTTACCATTATTTCGAATCGTTCGCCTACGAATGCAACAACACTTTGTGTTTGTTTTTATAAATTATTATCGTAATTTTTATATTATTTATCTCGTGCCTTTTGAATTGTCTTTCATTTTGGCTCTCAAATGTTGAACTGTGTGCGGCTACCACTTGTATCTCTCATATTTGCCGTGTTTTTCTCTCTCCGTCAAACGTTTTGTTTTTTCCCTTCGCTTTGGTTTGTTTCGATTATATTTTTCTCTTCTTGTGGAAGTGTATATTTTCGCTCAAAAATCGACGAAAATAACAAAGCAAATGGATGGAACGGAACAAAAAATGAAACAAAATTGTAAATTTGGTCTAGATCTGGGCACAATAGCTGCCGCCGGGTCGCGCACTCGCCACTTGAACATGTAGTGCTGTGTATTACGTGCAATATAAAAACTCGAATAGACAACAATTGTTTTGTATTTGTTGGACGGTTTTTTTCCCTGCACTTCTTCGCATTCATTTCATTATGAATTATGACATGACACATGTTTCTCTGGACTTTTATTACTTGAATTGCCTGATTCCGAATTCAAAAATAAATAAATAAAAGCGAAATGCGAAAATCGCTTCTTTGCTGGATCATTGCATTGGATTGTCGGTGTTTGTTGTTGTTTTTGCTGCTGCTGTCGCCGCGAAAATGTCACTTCTCACTTTTAAAATGGAGTCAGCGTTTGCTTGACCCTGGCTTTCTTTCTCTCTCTCGCACACACATTCATATTCTTCGCAAACGATATCTTTCAGTTTTGCGGTGGATTTTCACATTCGTTTTTTTTCATGCGCTTTTTGTCATCTTTTACATTGTGAGCGATAAATTTTCTATCGCGTTTTTCTTCTTCTTGAAAGTACGTGGCCGACGTTTGTTATTATTTTGCGGGGCATTTGGAGATTTGTTTTGCCCGGTAAATCATTGCACAGCAAAGAAATGCTCGGTTCGCACTTGGCGAGTGTATCGGCATCGTGATCAGCACAAGTGCTGTACGCTTTATACAGACTCGAGTATATAATGACAAAACCATACACACGAAAAAGAGTGCTTAGCAGGAAAGGGAGTGCAAAGAAGTGAAGCGAACGAATAAAAAAAAACCGAATAAACTAAGAATTATCAGGCACAAGTAAATTTAATTAATTTTTGGTTTATTTCCACAGAAGAAAAAAACCACAGCTACAATCATGGGAACCCAGGGCAATAACAATATTTGGATGTTTAGCGCAATTTCCCCTTTGAAGAAAATAAATGTTAAACCTCACACCAGTCATAGAATGGAACAGTATAGAACTTTATAAGTAACTGGTGACATTCCATTTACTTGACCGTTTATATTATTCCCTCATTCTTCGTTCACCACACTTTGTTCGCTTTGCTGGTGTTTTCGGTCGAAAAATCGAAATTCACTGGAATAACCGCGTTATGATATTTTTGGTCATTTTTTATTTGTTCTGTGTGTTGCTGTGTGTGTCTAGCTCTTGTTTTATGAATATATGTCGTTATATATGACACTTTACTCAATATTCTAAACCACAAATGCGGAGATTTCTTTTGCTGACTCATAATGTGATATCCTATGCATTTGCATAATTTATATTATTCAAGCTTTGCCTTTGCTCGCTCGCTCGCTCGCTCGCACACGCAGTCAGCAATCAGAACATTAAGAAAAACAATTAGTCACCGCAGCCAATAAAAAGTCAAATAAGAAATGGAATGTCATATCGTCCCCTATTGAAATATTCAATATATATGTATATACTTCCGAATGGGCAATGCACACACACACACACACACACACACACACACACACAGTGTGATAAAAGTCTGTTCCATTTATCGGTATCCAATTATCTTAATGCGAGATACACTCGGACATTGGGATACCGAACTAAACAGAGCCGAAATATACTGTACGCTCACTGCCCAGTGTCTTTTCGATTTACTTAATTCACAATGATAACAACAAACAGAAGAAAAAATAGAAACAAAAGTAAAACAACACAAAACCAAATCAAACCAAACCAAAATCAAATCTTTTTGTTCAACATTTACATGCTATCTATGTTTTGAATGACTGAACTGCAATTAACTAACCGTTTATGGGCAAACGTACCGTCAAAGAGAATCACTGAGAAGTTTTACCAACAATCTCAAATAAGAATTCGTTCTCGTTCCAATTTGCTTGAGTCTATTTGATTGAATCGCCAGAAGGAAACAAAAACACACACACAATTCAGATCAAAGTCACTTCAAATACACCAAAACTATAAATCACTTCGCCTGATATTAGCGACAACTGTGAGTGCATCAATTTGAATAATTTTCCACTTAATTTTCTTTTTTTGAATTTTTCGAATTCGTTTTTGCACCGAATTTTTTCAAGCATGTCAAATCAAAACACGGATATTCACATTTCGATCCTCAATTTCCAACATGAGACAGTTTGGTTGGATTTTCTTTTCACTTGCCGGGAGATTTCGCATCAATTCATCAATCTGATTCACTGATTTTTTTTCTTCTTTGTTTCGTTATCAGTTCTCTCTAAAAACATAAATTCCTATGATGATTGCTTTTCATTTTGCTCTCCTCTTACTGGTTTGATACGTGGAGATAATTAGTTTACCGAAAATACTTATAATCGCAAACTCATCAAACGAAATTCCTTTCTTTCTTTGTTTGTTTGTTTATTTTTTGTTGGCAACTTCAACAAATTTCCACAAAAAAAATAATTGTTAGCGGATAAAAGAGCACCGACGGTATGTACCAATGTTGATGCAATGCTGGCAAATATATTCGCAGAATGTCAAACGTGCGAAAATTGCCAATTTTCGCAGAATCAACAAAGAGAAACTGTGAAACACCAATCCACCCACGAACTATGAACAATACACCGAAATATATTATTTATATCAACTTTATAAATTGAAAATGCCAAACAATTTTCTGTTGAAAATCAATTTTCTTATTCTGTGTTTATTGATTTTGATTAAAATATGTAACCATTTCAAAGTAACAATTTTTCACGTTTTTTTCTTACTCTCTATCGCGGTTTTGCGCAAAATTTTTCATCAGTCCATAATAGCGATAGTACTTGGTCGAAATGATTCAGAAATCACGAAATCGAAAATAATAATTCGAATTAAACGCGTCGACTGTGAACACACATGTAGTTCGGGCATATTCTATATGCATACTGTCGCTGTAACAACGGTTTCGAATCAGTTTGGGTTCAATGTTATTTGCCGTTGGTGCTGCAAGCTGCTGCTGTGTCTGCGCTTACGAAGGGGAAGCCAACGCAAGCAAGCAGTGAACACACGCTGAAGACTATAACAAAACAGCGTGTCGGTCGTAGCGGGCGAAAGGAATGGTGAAAGAAGAAAAAAATGATTCATTCGGATGCGTTGCTTGGTTTGTGTGCGAAATGAGAAGTGAATCGTGCGTGATGTCGTCGCAACCGTCATCACCGCCGAATTCCCCTAATTTTGATTGCGTCGCGTTACATTTCTGGTAAATCCATATGGAGTTGAGCCATAAAGAATACCGTCGATTCTTTTTACAATCGCATTGTTGGATGAACCAGCGGAGAGTACTGTTGCATCTCATGTGTGTGTATCTCTCACGCTTTGTTACACATATTTCGTGTTGCTGGTGCTGCTGCCGTTGAGGTTGTTGTTGATTCAATACACAAAATCTACAATGCTTTTTGTCAAATTTTATTATTTATTCATTAAATTTAAATGTAAAATTATTAATTAAAAATACCATATTGGCGAAATTAGCATCACCGACATCGCATTGGTGGTGTGTTTTTGGTTGTATGTTGGTTTTACCGCCCATCCTCCCCCCATTCAATCGTCTCTATCCCAAAAATAGATTTTATGATGAATATTCAGCGCTTATCGGCAATGTGAAAGATGAGCCCATTATTGGGTCAAAATCAATTCGGTTGCTTTGTATTACAATATTGTTAATTGCGTGGATGGCATAAGTGGATGCGTTTTCCGCGATTTAATTAGTTTTTGAGTCGTCTGCATGCATTTTGTGAAATTAAAATATTATCTATATATAGTATTATTGTTCGATAACCTGTGAACAATGTTTGATTTGGTACGGTACCATATCAACGTAAACAGAGGAATTGAGATTTAAATTCGAAAGAGATAGACATTGATTTCATCGACCGCAAGACCAATATATTGTATAGATGGAGAGCTTGTTGGATTTTCGCTTCAACCAGTTAAAATAGAAGCTGTTGATTCGGTCATTCATTCACAATGCCAATCAACACTGTCCAGCACTCGAATAATTCAAAATGTGACTATTGAAGGATTTCTCAATTTCAGAAATTAAATTTTTGCTGTGCTGAATTGAATGTAAGTAACATTTGTCCAAAAGGACATTCATGATTATCATCGAGCATGGGGACACTGCCACCACAAAAAAAGAGTGTTAATAACATGTTGTGCTAGACCAATCGCGCCATGTGACAACAACAAGTGCAGTCGACAAGCTACAAGAAGGGAGAGTGAGATTGCCGGTTTTTATGATAAATTTAATGCACTTATATTTTCTCTTAAACCAGACGACAAGTGTGCAAACGAAAAATCAACGCATAATTGCCGATGGAAATAGATTGAATTAAATTTTATTTTGAAAATTGATAACCACTACAAACCGATAATAAAACAAAATTGCTAACAATTGCCTCATGCATTCGCATTTACACACGCACATCCTGATGGGGTGCGATGAAAAAATTGCCATAAAAGGAATTATATTTTGTATTGGAAAAGTGAAATGCCCTTCCACACACATACACACACACGCACACACACACACACAAACACATTTTGGTGCAGAGCATTTGATCTAAATCAATTGAACTTTTCGATTTTCCCCATTGTTACAATATTTGTATTATTGCTGCTATTTGCACATTTGATTTTCATTGGGTTTTTTCTCTCTTTGTTTTTAAATATTGCATTGGCCTTTTGTTGGCATACACATTGTATCGGCCAGAAGAGATGGGGGCAATCGTTATTTTTTTTTCGGTATCTCACTCACATATTCATTGATTGCTGGAAAAACGATGATAAAAATGTTTTTGGTATGATAGATATCTGGCCTGGGATCAATGAAGATCATTCTCCCTAATGTTCATTGTTTATTTGAAGCGATATCGAAAGCCAAAATACAACACTAATTGACTAGACAACCGAACAAGAGTGAGAGTATTAAAAAAAATGTTTTTTTTTATTTCACACAATAGCTCAGTTTATGAAAAAAAAATATGGCGGTGAATAATTGCATGAATTCCAATGTCAACGGTTGCCCCACCCAGTGGATATTATCGTTCACTTTCAGGCTATTCGTTTCATGGGGCTGGACACAAATTCAAGTACCATCTTATTTTCTACTATATCTCAAGGTTTTCTCTAGTTTTACAAATATTTTACGATTATATTTGTCATCTATTTCGCTATTGTTTTTCATTTCATCGTCTGATCATGGACTTAATAATTCCTATGCGGAACAATTTAATTTATATTTGATTGAAGCAGTGGGGTACAGCATAAATCTCCAGAAAAAAAAACTCAAAAATACATTATCCAATTGAACCATTTTGAATGTTGATTTTGATTCTCTCTTCGTCTGTGATTTTTTCACATTCAAATTGATATTTCGCTAACAATAGCTGTTCTGTCCATCCCCACGATTTTTTTTGTTTCAACTGCCTGCTGATGCGGATTGTTGGAGGAAGCAGGCGCAAAAAATCACAGTTTTCATTTAAATAAACGATGACTTTTGGGACGATATTATTATTTTTAATTGAAGCTCACACACACACACACACACGCATAGTCACATACACACGATCTGAAAGAATTCATCGAATGTACTGTACGTGCCATACACATATCACACCCAGACCCGGACGTGCCACACTCCAATGGAACGCACAATCATTACAACTCTTTTTTTCGAAGCTGCGGCGAATTTTCTCTTTGTCTCGTTCTCTCTTTGTCTCGTTCTCTCTCCCTTTCCCTCTCCCTCTCTCTATCACTATATGTGTGTCTACATCTCTCTCTTTTTTTATTGTCATTCAGTTCGAGAGGTAAATCATATTTTATCAGGAGTGTGCATACTCTACATGCAAGTTTTTGTCACGGTTTTGATACAGTGATTTCATTACATGTGTTTACATCATATCTGTATACAGACCGATACCGGGTGGCTGTCATGCAATACAATACAATACCAATCGTTTTTGTTCATTTCGGTTGCAGCAGTTTTTTTTGTGTGTCTGTTCGGTTTCGTTTTTCATTAAATCACTGATTGCAAGTGCAATGTGCATAATACGAATGCAGTTAATTAATACATATATCTCTCTGTTGGCCCAAATACATCAAACAGTAAATGGAAATTGAAAAATGTCTGCAACACAAAGCGATAGCAATAAAACTTCATGGAATAAGACAGCATTTTATACACCCTTCATTCGCTCTCTCTATTTCATTTTGGATTTGGTTTTTCTGTTTGTCGTTTTTTCTTTCGTTTCAATTAGATAGCGTCTATTGATCGAGTCGACGGACATATTTTATTGATGTACTCGCCGCTGTGTGTTTTTTTCTTCTTCTGCTGCTCGGTTGATCCGTGTCCAAAACTGTACTTTGTTCCACTACTAGTGTTCGTGGTCGCGTCGATTCTTTTAAATATATTATTTGTTTTGTGTTTTAAAATGCAGCGCTTCCGCTGGCCCAAAACTCTATCTCATTCGAAGAATTTTATCGTTCAACCAAATCGACACTAAATTAAACAAGAAAGATAAAAGATGGAAAACATGTGTTTATGAACGCAATAATGGCCATTTGGTGAACTGGTAACTAGTTGAAATGCCCTTGCCATACAAGGAAATACCATTTTTTGGGACATATAATACATACAGTGGATATATGTTTCGACTAGCTTTATCTGAAATTACCTGGCAAATCAACGTATATTCATATTTTGCCTCTTTTGTAGTCAGTTGCAATAGCTGCTCTCTTTTACGACTACATAACCTACTCTGACTCCTTTGTTATGCTTTTGCCTTGCACGCTGATTAAATTTAGTTCTAGCTGATATGCATTATTTGTAATGGGGTGAGTGCTAATCAGGTCGGAAAAGAGGAAAAAAAATCAACTGAATGCCATTTGTAAACGAATAAAACAGAACCGAAGAGCCGAAGCATGTACACACGCACATCATTACCTAATTCAAAAACCTAACCGGTGACGGTGACAGCGACAATATAAAAGTGAATCGTTATGGGCTGTTCTTCGTTCGTGTGTTGTGTGTTTGTATTTTGCCACCACATTCGATAGCTGAGAAAACAAGAGCGAAAGGGACAAAATAGTTGTTAGTTTTGAATATTATGTGTAAGTGACATAGGCAAATAACCAATATGGAAATGAGATAAAAGTTGAGTGGAGGATAAAGACATCGTCATCGTCGTTGTAGTGGTCGTTTGTCGTTGTCGTTTTGGGGAAACGCACAATGCATATACCAGTTTGACTGGCTCATAAATTAAATACAATAACAGCGGAATTATAAAAAAGAGGCAATCGCGCGACAATCAAGAGAAGAAGAAGAAAAAAAACACACAAAAAATGGTTACTAATGCCACTTTTTTTCGTATGTTTAATTTCCACTCGGACTGGTTGCTTTCGTTTCGGTTCCGTTCTCTTCTGTTTGGTTTTCAGTTATTTTCTTTTTCAACTTCGTGCATGTACTCAACTGTATGGCACACTCTTCATAGTTGGACGACGATGCTAAAATATGTTTAGCAATCTAAATCGTAATAGACACCGGGTTCAGTTCCGCTCCTATGTTTACCTATCAAATTGAAGTTATTAAGCAGGATTTCGATGCTGCAAACTAAATTTAATTTGAATAAAACCATTGCGATCTTATTGCCTGTTAATCTCATCGAGTGAAGATGGGTCATACACAATTTTTCTGACTATCACCTCCAAACAACTTCGTAACATATTCGTCGAAACATATTTCCAGCAAAACTTTCATTACCGATGAGAAATTGTTTGCTGTTCGAAACGTATTCGCTTCGCTAAACCCGCTTATTTTCTCTTTTTCACTCTATCTCTTCGTTGTGCCGCCACCACCGCCGACG